ATATCTGCATTATATCGTAAATTTGTAAAACGATGTGCCAATTGTTCTAATTTGTTTTGCAGAAAAAACAAGCAAGTAACTGTACGACTGAACGTGAGCGAAGTGACACTCCTCCTTCAGTGACACTAGACTTTAATCCGACATGGATTAGCAAATTGGATCTACCAAATAATAAGTTGAAATCGTCTGCAACTGTTGCATCGCCTATATCGATAATGCAAAACAAGGAGCTAAATCTAAGCGATAAGTTGAAATTGTCCGAAAAATCGGCTACAGAGTTTCGTGAATCAACACTATTACGTGAGTCGACATCTTCGACATCCGAACATAATCTGGAACCACAAAATCCAGAAACATTATCGGAAGATTTCCCTATAATCTGGTACCACAAAATCCAAAAACATTATCGGAAAATTTCTCTGATACTTTAAACGCTATGAAAACAGTCGATGCATATGACTTGGAACATGTTCACGAATCAATAAATCGTGCAACAGACGAAATACTCGTAAAGTCCTCGGATGATCATCAAACAAATGCGGAACACAAGCATAAGGTAGAAATTATAAGGTATCTGAGCCGAACAAGGCCCAGCATTAAATAAGGTCCACTTTTAAATTCATTACTTTAAAACTTGCTTTAAGCGAATTTAAAGCGAAGTGAATTTAAAAATGGGCCTTATTTAATGCTGAGCCTTGTTCGGCTCAGATACCTTATATATACATATATATATATCTATTTGGGTGAATATAAATATCATTACATTCAATAATAATCTAGAAATTTTATATTTTGTACAACATATTTGTCAGGAAAAGACAACCGATCTTGGAGGACCTTGTATAGTGAATAAGGTTCGCCTTTCCTTGTACAATCACACGTCTGTCTCTAAGTTAACATGCGAGATGATATCTTTGTTATTTACGAAAGAAGAGTTAACTATCTCTTCGCTTACAGGAACGATGGTTGTAAATTTATTTAAATGAATTAATTTCAGAAATGATAATTGCGTACCGATATGATTGTCGAACTTTCAATGCAATCAAATCTGAAAATATTAATAATCCCCCCAAATTTCCCAACTTAAAAACTGTAATAAACTTATTGCGAAAAATAATGCCTCGGCCGGGAGTCGAACCCGGATCTCTTGCATTCCGTGCGAGCGTCCTAAGCCTTTAGACTACCGAGAATTTAATTATATCAGATGTGACTGTGCGCCGAAACATTCGGAATGTTTCGGCGCCTTATCGTATTCGTATTTATATTATTAACATCTCATGTCCATCATTTACACGGTCGTACTTATTAGTTATTCTTAAAATATAATTGTTTATTCTATAGAAATATATCGTTCTTATTGTAAACTGTGTATGTCTAATTTTATTCACGTCTTTATATCCTGAATAGTGCGCATTAATTATTTAATAGTTTTCTTAAAAAAATTTGGGGCACTGTTGAAGTGACAACTATTAAATAATCAATGCGCACTATTAGTGCACATTACTAGTGCACACTGTACCAGTAGTATTAATTTACACTATTAGTACGAATTCCAACAGTGCGCGAAATTACTATTGACGTAATGTGTACTAATAGTTGTCATTTCAATAGTGCCACAAGTTTTTTTCCGTAAGGATAAATTTATAGGAAAAATGGAAGCTGTTAGAAGGCGAAGGCTAGCTGCGGTTGCTCTCCTATTAATAGCAGCTAGAGAACGGAAGCAAAAAAAGAAAAAAAGAATTTGGGCGAGAAATTGGCTACTACGCAGGAATACAGTTCGAAGTACCTTAACAATGCTGCACAAAGAATTAAGGTCTGTATAAGATATATTAATATTATATACATTAATACAGAAAAAAGATCATTAAAGAAATATATTTATATTTTTTTTATAATCTATTTTCGCCTATGTACTCCTATAATTCTTATATCATTGTATATTATATATTACATGTATACCTGTATATATAGCATTGAAGATCCAGAGTCCTTTCGAAATTATACTCGTATGGAGCAATGTATACTCAACGAAATATTAGAACTTATTACACCTCTAATCAAAAAACAAGATACTGTGATGAGAGAAGCTATCTCTCCTCGAGATAGATTATGCGTTACGTTGCGATATCTAGCTACAGGCAATACATTTCAAGATTTAGCATATTCAGTACGAATTGCTCCCACTACATTATCGAAGTTAATTCCTGAGACTTTAAAAGCTATCATTGAAGTTTTGGGAAATGAAGTTATCAATTGTCCATCAACTCCAATGGAATGGCAAACTGTAGCAGAGAAATATAATATTTTGTGGCAATTTCCGCACTGCATAAGTGCTTTGGATGGAAAGCATATTAATTTCCGACCGCCAAGAAAGGACGGTTCTATATATAGAAATTACAAAGGAATAGATAGTATCGTTCTTCTTGGGCTTGTAAGTGCTGACTATACTTTTTTATTTGTGGACATCGGAAGAAATGGTCGCATGCACGATGCATCAGTATTTCGGGAAAGTCCTTTGGCTGCAGCGTTAAATTCTGGAGCACTAAATTTGTCTCCATCATCTCCTTTGCCTGGGTACGATATCGACATGCCATTTGTGATTGTGGCGGATGATGCTTTCCCTCTTAAAACAAACATAATGAAACCATATCCTGGACGCAATCTTACGGTAGAAAAAAGATTTTCAACTACAGACTTAGAATGCACGCTTAGAGCACGTAGAATGTCAGAAAATGGATTTGGCATCATGGTAAATATATTTCGCATTCTCTTAAATATTATTCCACTTTCAGTAGAAAAAGTTGAATTAATCGCGTACGCATGCTGTGTTTTACATAACTTTTTATTGAAAAGAAAAGTACAGTGGTATATACTATCAGAACTTAGATGTGAGACTTCCAACGTAATACAATCAAATCTGAATAGTATGTCACAGCAATGTGGAAATCGTTGTAGTAATACAGCTATCGAAATTAGAGATCATTTTTGCACATTTTTTTAATACAATAGGAACTGTACCTTGGCAAAATGTCTGTATTGGAGAAGGACAGTATTAATTTTAAGACAAGTGTTAATTAAAATAGTACACTTCAACATTGTATTAATATTTAAAACGATATTAATTTTCAAAAAAGCAAATATATTTTATGCGTCTTTCTCTCTCTCTCTCTCTCTCTCTCTCTCTCTCTCTCTCTTTCAACATGGAACTAATGCAACATATGTATCAAAAAGAAAATAAATGAAAAAAATTATAGTACCGGTCAAAAGTTTAGACTCACCTCTATACTTATGCGTTTTATATCAATAATCAAAATTTTTAGCAACAAATATTAGTTAAAAAATTCGGTTGTAAAGCAAAACGGTCGATGAATTAAAAATTACCACAAAAATAATTGGATTACATATATAAATTTATTTATATTTTAGACTCTTCAAAATAAGCTCCTTTAGCCTTCAAAACGGCTGTACATATTCTGGGCATCCTTTCTATCAATTTCTTCAGAGTCAGAGCGGAAATTTTAGTCCAGGATACTTGCAGGAACTCCCACAGTTGGTTTTGATTCATTGGTCTCATTTTTCGCACGTTCTTATCCAATTCATCCCACAAAAGTTCCATTGGGTTCAGATCAGGTGATTGAGGGGGCCAATTCATGTATTTTAACTCTTTTTGCTTTTCTTTTGATGTTGATAATGTAGTTTCTGTACAATTTTGATGTGTGTTTAGGGTCATTATCCTGCTGGAAAACAAAACCACGACCAGCTATTTTCTTTCCACACGGAAAAGCATGGAGTTGTAAAATATTGTGATATTGCCGTTGATCCATAATCCCTTCGATTTTTACCAAATCGCCAACTTTTTCTTCAGCAAAACACTCTCAAACCATAACCGAACCACCTCCATGCTTCACTGTTGGTACTACACACTGCTCTTTCATGCGTTCGCCGACCTGGCGACGAACGTATTGCCTACGTTTTCCCCCAAAAATTTCGAACTTTGATTCATCTGTAAATAATACTTTTTTCCATTGATTAATCGACCAGTTTTTATGTTTTTTAGCCCATTGCAATCTTTTGACTTTATTTTGTTTATGTAGCAGTGGTTTTCTAGCAGCTATACATCCTTTTAATCCATGATCACGAAGTCGGCGTTGGACAGTCGTTACAGATACTAGCTTCTCTCTGATAGTATTCAGTTCTTCGCGAATTTCTGGTGCAGTACAAGTTCGCAAACGCTTACTTTGGACACAAATGAACTTATCTTCACTTTTCGAAGTTACTCTGGGTCTTCCAGAACGATGACGACTCGTGTTTAACCCGGTTTCTTGCTTTCTTCTCAACGTCCTCACAACTGTAGTCTGGGAAACCTAGTTTTCGATGATATTTGTCGTGTAGAATATCCTTCTTTATGTAGTGCTACAATTACGGCGCGTGTTTCCATGTTTAATTCTTTTTTTCGACCCATTTCGTGTATAAATTCCGTCTATAAACGGAATAAATAGTATATACATACATAAATATCTCTATTGTTCTATGATTTGTATTTACATATAAAATATGATTTCCATTTTAAATTTCCACTAGAAATATAACTAAGTTAGTTAAACTTACCTTAGACAAAGAGAATAAAAGAAAATTGGTAATAATAACACATTGAGAGAACTTAGCAGTAAGATTTAGCAGTAAGACGCAGCCAGACTAAAACGACGCACGTAATGTGAACATTCGTTTCGAAATAAACACGGAACAAAACAATCATAACAAGTGAACGTGAATACGTAAACAAATAGCTATCAAATAGCATGTATTAATGTTTTGGTTGAGATTCAATGATTCAATACCGTCAAAGTCAATGTTATTTACGAAAATGTATCATTTCAAATGCTGAATCTAAACTTTTGACCGGTACTGTACTAAATATTAAAATAATGTTTATTTAAACGTTACTTACGTTTATTTAAACGTTTATTTACATTTATTAAAAGTAACAATTTGTTACTTTTTCATTACTTTTTTAAATATTAAAATAAGTTATTAAATCTTAAAACTACATTAATTATTTGATAATCATAATATTATATATAGTAATAAATATATAATATTAAATTTAAATAGAAAATATTATAATAGTTTATTTATGTGTATTCAGTTTCAGTTTTCGAAAAGATGCCACCGGCAAAGCATGCAGTTGCTGCAGGAGGACGGTGCGTTGTTCCAGGATGCAAATCAGGAAGGACAGGGATAACAAAACATAGGTTTCCAAAAGATCCTGCAAAATGTGAAGCTTGGAAACGAATTATTTGTAACAATGCTTTAAATGAAATGGATTATAAGACTTTAAGTAAATCTTATTATTGATTTGTAAGCTCCATTTTCAGGAAAATTCTTACATACCTGGAACGTGTAAACCAATGTTAAAGAAAGAAGCAATGCCAATGCTTTTTTCTTCTGACACACCAGTTTCAGATATGTGTGGAGATAGTGAACCTTCGACAAACTGCAACGTAATTGAAGAGCAAGAAATTGCAGTAAATTCCGATGTTCAAAAATCTAGTGAATTTATTGCAGTTTCGAAATTTCCAATTAGCAGCTCTGACAACTTATGCAATCGCAGTGCTACACGTCAAAAAACAGGTCAGATGTTATCAAAAATCAAATTACGTGCTTTAAAATGTTGTTTACAAGCCACAAGCATGTATACAATAGCTCAACAATTTAAAAAGCTTGCGAATTATTATAAACGCAAATATTTATCTTTTAAGCAGCAGCTTACAGCCGCAAAAAAATTGTTCAATGAAAAAGCTTTTAATTTATTTGCTAATAAATTAAAAATTCCAGACAATTAACTTTTTTCAATTACAGTTTGAGCGGTACTATCCCCAATAGCCGACGCTTCACTAAAGAAGAAAAAGCACTTATATATATAAGCATTATATAAACTTATATATATAGCATTAAGTTTTTATAAAACATCTGATCAGTGTTACTATTTACTCAGATCAATGTTTATTTTGCCATCTGTAAGAACATTGCGTAATATGTTGAGTCATTTAGAAATGGATACTGGTCTGAACCGTACAATTTTAAAAGCATTAAAAAGTTGTGTAAATGAGATGAAAAATGAGAAAGACAAGTTGGTAATATTAATGTGGGATGAAATGAAAACATCGGCACATTTGCAATATGATCCAAATGTGAACAAAGTTGTTGGTTTCGAAGACTGGGGTTTATGTAGAACTTCAACATTAGCGGATCATGCCCTTGTGTTCATGCTCAAGGGAATTCACAGGAACTGGAATATGCCTTTCGGTTTTTTATTTGCTGCATCTCAGATGAAAACTTCATCACTTGTCAAGCTTATTAAGTCTCATATTTTAGCTAGGAAAAAAGTTGGTTTAACAGTTGTTGCCACCATATGTGATCAGGGGAGTAGGTGAATAGGGCCGGTTCTAACCCAGGTCCTTCGAGGGGAATGCGGGGGGTACTCGTAGGCGCGGGGAGGGGAATGACGTCACTGGGCGAGCGGGAACGGGGCGCAGGGAAGGTCCAGGGTCGCCGGCATCGCTGTTTACCTAGGACCCCAATCATCACTGTTTATAAAAAAATAGGACCCTGATTGATGGGTCATAAATGTATCGATTTACGATGCATTCGATATTTTTCACCGCCGCTGACCG